AATCCATCAAGCTAATTAGGAGTCGTGCGAAGGAGTAAGGCGAATGGGGAGCAAAAATTTAGGAGCATGGGGAGGAGGTACGGGAAGGAAAGGAATAAATAGATTTCACTGACCACCATTTCCCCCTCCCCCTCCCCTCTCCACCTTCAATGTTAGTTTCCTTTCGCCATATGCCTACACGTGACTCACGCTTCTCTCTTTTGGTTAAAAACAAAAAACAAAACTGCAACACATACCCAACCCTAGCTGCTTTACTCCGTTCTTAGCATTCGGGTTGCAATTAGCTTCATTTAGAACAGTTTCAGAGACACGACTGACAGAAATGAGAATTCCTCTATTTCATGCAATGAAAACAGATTGATTGTAATACTTCGCTGTTACAGGGATCTCAAATGTGAGAACATTTTGCTTGATCAAGATAACATTGTTAAAGTATCAGGTACGTATCATGAACGGTGAAGAATGCTAGCTCAAAATTGCTCAGTTACATGAGCCTGTGTTTTATTCTAAGGTTAGCATTTCGATCGTTCCTTTATCCCGGAACTTCTGGAAAACCCACGGTGAGCCTAATAAAAACAGGAGGTCCATGCGGAGTCAAACATGAAAATGATATACCCGGCATTGCGAATCGTAACTCCAATGAAATTCAATGAAATTAAATTAATCCAATGAAATTAACGCGTTATCAATTGAGATCGTTTTAAGGAGTTCAAAGTTTCCTTGGTGTATTTTTGGTTTATTGTGTTTATGCCACAATGTTTATGCATTGCATCCTTTCAACTGTATCAAATGCAAAACTAGAACCACCACTTGTTTTGACGTTGATTAATAATTACCTTTGTTGTGATTGGCGTTTTGATTATTGTTGCTTCATTTCACATCACTCCATCGATGCACACCCGGTGGTCACAAGCGTCCTTGTGGTATCTTGTGTATGTATTCAGCTATAGCTTATTATAAGCTGTCGTGGAATTTGGTTAGGTACCTTGTAACTTTATGGTTGTTCAACAGATTTTGGATTCGCCACTCGCTATCCCAAGAACAAGTGCGACCTGCTTTCCACTTTCTGTGGATCGTACGCATATGCTGCACCAGAAATACTGCAGGCGCAGAAATACGACGGGAGAAGCGCAGACGTGTGGAGCATGTAAGTGTAACAAGGCAAACAAATTTAGTTGCGATCATGGGCTACGAAAGCAAGAGGGAGATGAGGGAGAATGAAACTAGGAGAAGTGAGACCTCCTCACGGCTCCATTGCGTCCATCAACCTCCAACACACATTCGTAATCTACGGTCAGTCGACTGGCTGCATATTTTCAAGGCGATTTCTCTTGCCTTGTTGTCTGCGCAAGGTCTGGCAAAGGCCATGCAAGAGAGAATCTGACAATAACGTCAAGGCTCTTGATGGGGTCCAAGCCTCAATTGTTCGAAAGGTGAATAGCGGCATCTCTATCCGGTGGACAGCACACTACGTTTTGTTAAGATAGCGATTTATCCGTTGTATAGCGCTATTTGCCCTTTAAACAACTGGGTCGAGGTTGACTGGTGGAGTAAATTTACATGTTAACTCAGGTGGTCGAAACGTTAGTAATATGGAATGCCAATCAGGAACAATCTTGTTAGGGAGTACTGTTACCCAGACGATTAGACAAGATGGTACAGCACAAAGTCACCTCGTCCACGCTTAATTCACTTTCATTTATCCTTTCTTTCTTTGGCAGGGGTGTCATTTTGTTTGCCATGGTATGCGGTCGATTGCCCTTTAACGACAGGAGTCTTCACTCCCTAATCGTTGAGACGAAAACGAAGTTAGCATTTCCTTCCAAAGTTACGTGCTCAGCAGGTAAAGAATATATATAAATCAAGTAAAACCTCGTCAAGATCGATTGGTGCCAAACCTCACTTTAACGAGGCGCTTTTTCAAGAATGATTTGCTTGCCTTTCCTACTTGTTTCCAAATAGGTTAATTTAAAATTCAAACTTCTTTTTTTTTCATCCAGATTGTCAGCATATTATTCGCAGCATTCTTGCGTGGGACCCACGAAAGAGAATCACTATTCCTCAGCTTTTCACCCACGTTTGGCTAACTGGTGAAATGGCCAAGGTGAGTGGGAAGGACTGATGATGTTAAGGGCTCTTATCTCTCTTGTTATCACCACACAGAAATGAAAACTGAACATAAATCGATGTAACAAACCCAATGGTGTGTACATTGACCTGCAGTCAGGTGTTCGTTTCATTTCCTCTTTCTCCTTTATTGTTGTTGCGGAATGACAAGCCCGAGTGTGATAAGGTTTCAATGCAGAGAGGGTATCATTCTTACAAGTAGTTAGTGCGCACTCTCGGTGTTCGCAGTGCATCTCTCTTGCTTCCACTGCTTCGGCTGATTTTGTTACATTTGACTTGAACGACGGACAAGGAAAAGAGAGAGGACTGAACATATTCTGCTTGGACGGTAATTAAGTGCTAAGGAGCTGCAATACACCGAATGCAAATATGGCGTCCAATTTGAATTGCCATTGTTCTGGACTGACTAGCCTCTCACACATGTAATCAACCTTTTGTGTTTCCACGCGAAGACGAGGCTAGTCTGGCAGTCCAGAACAATTGCAATTCAAATTGGACGCCATATTTGCATTCGGTGTATATCAAGTGGATACTTGATCTTGCCAAGACAGAACATAGAATCAAAGTTTCAGCACGTAGAAATGTCAACTCTCTTCTTCGGTGAGTTCATGTTATATCCTTTTCCAGGCCCTCGGTTTATTTGTAAGGACGAACGAAAAAACCGAAGGGTTCTTCGAATAGGAAATTGAGGATTCGGGAGAGGAGAGAAAAGACTGTCCTGGCCCTTTCTCGAGATCTGCGTCCCTTAAACCACCTCTAGATCTACTTACCGAGAACCTGGCACAGAGCGGTTACACTGATAAAATTTTTCTTGAAGTTGTTGTGACAAAATGCTTGTTGTTATACTTTATCTACTCAAAAGGTTTCATCTGTCAACGCTCGAAGCATAATAGAGAAAAGCCCTCTTACTTTGACCTCCATTCAAAAAGAGATCGAGCGAGTTCTTGAGGAACATAAAATATCACAACCAGAGAGGTCTACTCCTGTGAAACAGACAGAGGTGTACAGAGCACCAAAAACACCAGGTAAATAACTTCGGTGGACATCAATTACCGTAACTTGCCGGTTAATAAATAGCAAGGGCGTTGTCATTTAGAACGAGTGATAAGCCGGCACCAGAGAGATGGCTGAAACATCTAAAGCATAGGATATCTTCTCAGTGACGAAAACGACATCTGTCGGTGACGAACATCACCCGGAGATTTCCGAATATTTACGACGATGAAGGGCAGTCGGCATGTTACATGTTTGAATTCTTATTACCTCCCTTTATAGGCCACCTTTGCTCTGATTAGCTGTCGTAATTACCTAGGTATTTGTTCTTTTTAAGCTGCATCTACGTACCTCTAAGTAATCTCTGTCAAGTTTCCCATATTTGTCAACTCTGCTTTTCAGTTCCAAAACATGGATGGTCTTCCTCAGGCAACACACCTGAGCCCTACGCTGCCGCAAAGCTTCTGCACAAAAGGGACTACAGGCTCCCTTCGAAGTCCCCTGGGCCTCAGGCCATTAAAATAGACAGCCCTGGAATAGAAACCTCAAATATGCACCCGCCAAGAGGCTCCACACCATGTCCTCGAAGTTTTACGCCCTCGCCTCAACCACAAATGCCTAAAAAGCAAGAACTGGCTGGGAAAGTTGCTGAAATACTCACGGAGTCTGGGTACCAGACCAGACCAACCAACCTCAGCCGTGGAACGTACGTGGTTATGAATAAGGCGCTGCAAGCTACGCAAAGGAGCGCACAGACTAGGAATGAGATCCGGGGTAACACACAACGAGTATGGAAGTATGTTGCCAAATCATCTTCTAACAAAAGAATGGGTCTCACGCCAACTAAAGGTGGGGCAACATTGTCTAAGGATTTCATCCTTTAAGGATTCCTCTTATAAAAATTCGCTTTTTAGCCACAAGGTTTAATCAGTCACCGAGTGGCAACTTAATCAACCAAAAAGGTCCTTCTCTTAGTCAGTCAGTCAGTCAATCAGCTAGCCAATCAGCCGGTAAATCCGTCAGTCAGCCAGTCAGCCAGTCGATCAGTTTGTCTATTAGTCAGTTAGTCAGCTAGCCAGCTAGTCAATCAGTCAGTCAGTCATTCACTGAGTCAGCCGGTCAGTCAGTCGAACAGCAGGTCAGTCAGCCAGCTAACCCGCTAGCCACCCATCCCATCACACAGTCTGTCAATCAGTAAGTTAGCGAGCTTGCCAGTCAGTCAATCAGTCAGTTGATCAAGTTATACAATCAGTCATTAAGGAAATCAGTCAGTCCACCAGTGAGTCAGTGAGTCAGACAGTAAGCCAGTCAGTCAGTAACTCAGTCAGCCAGTCAGTAAGTCGACTGTCATTCAAAAAGTCAGAAAGTCCGTTGGTCAGCCACTGAGTCAGTCAGTCTGTCAGCGCCGCTGACAGACTAACTGACTGAGTCATTTGATCATTCAGTAAATCGGTCAGTGTTACTTTGTAATATCGAGTATGTTGTATTTCCCTCCTAGTCTCGGATGTAACTCCGTTACCTAAATCCAAGGACCAAACCCAAGCAAATACAAACTTAACTTCTGTGTCTCTGAACACTGTCGCTCTCAGTCCACCAGCTACAGAAAAGCTAGTTAAAACCGCGTTGCCCTGGAGACAAGGGAACCTACTTCATAGAGGGCCAGCGCGAAATCCTCTAATGAAGTCCCAGCAAACCAAGAGCGCGTTGCCTACGCAAGCACAAACGACCACCAGACTAGAAAGTGCAAGAATATCCAGGAGCAAAATGACCGAAGCAACTAAAACATGCAAACCTTACTTTATGAACCTCGCCATTCAAGAGAACTCCAATGGAAGAGCAGGAGTTCAACGCATTCCTGCCTCAAGAGTAGGCTCCGAAAGATATCCAGAGACAAAACGGGAACACACCAGAAGTGGCTCAGTTTTGAACGGATTTCGTCTGAAAAACGGTGAGGGAAGAGTGTACAGTGGCTCATTTAGAGAAGTATCTTCAAGGAGTGGTTCTCAGCATGGCTACGCTTCAGGCAACACGGACAAAAAACACGTGAGATTTCAAGAAGACTCGCGCCAAATTTAGGACACAATCGTAGTTAGGTGTGGCTCTTGTTCCGAGAGGACGAAACACGACCCTTTGTGAAGTTTGTTCGTGTTTGTTGTGTCCTGAACATTCTGGGTGAAATTACCGAATTTAAGTAGTTATGATTTGTAATTAGTACTCGTAAAATTGCATGGAGATTTATTCAATAAATGAACGTATTTTGAACTTCTTTTAAATATCGTCTTTGTGACTTACTCCAAAGCCTTCCTGTCTACTGATGCCTCCAAGCAGACATTACAGCAAAATCGCATGATTCTGGACGCAGTGGACCAAGAGATCAAAGTGACCTCTTTCAGTAGCTTGAGTGTCATTCAAAACTTGAACAACCACATATTCCAGACTATTCATTTCAAGGAGAAACCTGACTCAGCAATGAGGGAGGGCATGTTACGAAAACACTTCAGGCGCCGGTTGTTCAAAGAGGGGATAGTGCTATCCACCAAATAAATCACTATCCAGTGGATAGTGCAGTATGTTTTGTTAACACTTATCCACTAGATATCCGCTGGATAGTGTTATCCGCTCTTTAATGAACTGGGCCTGGGTGGAAATGTTCTTACTTGATGATGAGGGCTGTCGATTTGAGAAGCTTTCGTCTAAATATTTGTCAAGCCGCTCTCCAATCACATAATCGATTTATTACCGCACTTAGTGAGGGAAGAGCTACAAAGGTTGACACCAACACTAGAGATAAGCATTAAGAGATAAGGGATCTGGAGACAAATCGGCTATAGAAGAATCCACAACTAGCTCCCAGGGTCATCTATCTTCCTCCCTGAAGAGAGGAGGGGAGCCTGGGTACCAGATTGAAACCTATTGACGATAACAGAGCCATTCACTGTCAAAATACTCCTTTATTCTTTACCTCTATCGATAAAACTAAGTTGTTCAAGACCATAAACCTTTCAAAGATTTCATTTACACTCTTCTGAACGAACGATCGATCGATTGACTGTATTTTCACGCGCATTGTTAGTTTTCAAACGTTGCGTCACAGGTTCTAAAATAGTTTTAAATAGTTAATAACAACAACAAAAAAAAAACAAACAAAACAGCAAGTTAGCGCCTTAGTCGAAAAATTTTGCTACCAAAATGAAGCGATTACATTAAGTAATTTGAAATAAGATTTACCTTCAAGAGACATTAATTATTAATTAATCTATTAATCGATAGATCATCTCCACAGGCGTTTCCCACAAAAATTAACAACCATAATTTGGCAAGAAATTTACATTATTCTTTTTCAGACCTTTTTGGTTTATCTCGTTTGCGCAACGTCTCTATAGGTTGCTCCCATGAAGAAGAAATCTCAAATAACAACTCTCATTATTGGCAAAAAAACAAACAACTATCACCTCAGTATAGAAAACGACTCGCCAATACCGGATTTAAAATCTTCGAGTCCTCATACAAAGAGAGGTTTACATTCACTGAAAGCTAAGTATGATTCTTGGAGATAAATTAAATTTGTCAATGAATCTACACGCATACACCGCCAAATATTTGAGTGTATACTCGTGGAACAGGATCGTTTGGAAAATAAATATATTGAACTTTAAAAATTTACTCTTGGGTGTAAGAATATGGAACGTAAACTTTCCAAAGAATATCATATAATTCCACGTAATGGTGTTATCAATTCACCTTCGTTATCTTAATAATATTACTATTACTATTATGGCATTCTGTAAATTAAATTACACATTCTACTGTACAAGTGAGATGAAAAGACAAAATAAGAGGAAGAATCTCATTGGATCGTTGCCTTGCCATTCACCCCCGAAATGTCCAATTTGTAAGAAGCCACACGGGGGATACCCATTTTAACCCTCAACATGGCGGATTTCCTATCAACACAATTTAAAGAAAAATGTACAGATTTTAACTGATACATCAACCGTTTAGGATTTCGGTGAGAAAAAATAGCCAAAGAGAAATAGATCGTTAACACGAAAGAGCATATTTCGGGAACGAAATCTGGGAAGGTCTAGACAACATGTTCCTTCACCCGGAGGTCCACCTTAGAGTCCAGCCCTTCAGCAACTCACACGGGAACGAGGCTATAAGACAAACCGTTTTGCGATGTAATTAGCGATCTTGAGTTAATTTTCCTTTCTGGAAGTATGTTCAACGGCGATGAGGGAATGTAATGACGATACTAAACTATCCACAGTTGTCTGAATTTGCATCATAACACACTAGGTCGTCTACTGCTCCCACTGTTCCAATACCACCGTTTTGGGTGAGCAAACGCCGTCATTCTTCGCCTCCTAGTGTTGACCTCGTGTTCCTTGGCAGCTGATTTCATCTGCCTCTGTACCTGGTCGTCTATTAGCGATGCCATGTCAAACTGCGGGGAAATGGAGGAAAATCTGATTAATTTAATTTTTGTGTACATCAGTTCATACATTCAATGAGCTATCCTTACAAGGAGGTAGATAACTCTCTGCCAAGCGGGCTGTTATTTCTAATTTCATTCCTGACAACCGTCCTTTAAACTGCTTGATATTAATTACACATTTTTTTCGTTAACTCGCTCGTTCGCAGGGAGCGCATGAGTCAAAAACATGTTACTCAGTCTTCCAAGAAAAACCTAGGCTATTTTGGCCTTCCTCTCTACATTAACGAAACTATAATATCTGTACTTACCTGCCAGTCTTCAAGCTGTTTCGAAAGACTAATCTTCTGCTCAATTGCCTCTTTGAGCTGTTTGTCAAGTTCTTCTCGATCTTCTTTGGACCGCATTAATTCCGTGGCTATTCTCTTCTCCCTAAATCAGGTACAAGAAAATCATAAGAATCTTAATTTTCAAATGTAGTATCAGAAGAGAACACTATGGAATGCCCATCGGGGGTATTTTAGTCTGCTTTCCAGGTCAAGGAATTACTTGACCTTTTCCCGTTTCGGGCAAAGGTGGAGCGTGTTTGCCTCGCCTCCTGAATACAGTAATTTTGAACTGAACTTCAGTACGTTCTGTGTTTGGTTAGGGAAACTCGCGCCACACCCTCTCAAACCATTCGGATGTAAAATTAAAGCCAATCGTCACGTGTTCATTACTCGAGATCTCATTAACTTCTTATTATATTGACCTTTGTTCCCATGGGCTATCGTGATATCTCTGGTTTTGGTTTCCCAACAATTACAAAATAGCTCTGTTGTTACGAAATAGGATGTAACAGCATTCTGATCGAAGTTTTACCTTTCCACTGCGTTTATCTTTTCTAGAACAGCTTCGTTGTACATGATATCGAACGCCAACTGTTCTTTGCATTCCCCTCTAGCTAATTTGTTCCTTTGTTCTTTTACATTAGTAATTTCCAGGTCCTTCTCATTCAGTGTTTCCTTCAAGTTGGCAATTTCTCCCTCTCTCTTCTTCAATTCTGATTTCGCCGCCTCAAGATCTTGTTCCAGACTGTTGATGCTTTCGTGGGCTTTCCATAGCTGTTGTCTGAGATCCTAAAACAGTATTAAGCAAACATAAGACGTGAACAGCAAACTCATAACTCCTGCTTAGTTCCTAGAATATTGTGCAATTATGATCAAGCTTACATTATTCAAAATATAAAAAAAACCTAACACGCTTTAACCAACAAAAAACTACATTTAACACACTAAAATAACTTTCTTGTCTGAAGCCATCCTTTATTGTTCTGAAAAAAGACTGTTGGCATACAGTCGATCAGTTTAATGCGATATACAAATCCTTACCAAGAAGAAGCTTACCGTAGTTCTGGTGCTGTTATCGCTGACCATTTCTTCTAAAACCCCTCTAAAACTCTTCACAAAAGTCGTCAGGCAACCAGGATTGAAATCTGAAGTGGGCTCTAAAACATCCACCTCAACCGAATCCAAGCTCTCGTGAGAACTTCGGAGCTCTACGTACAGGGCTCGTAATTCCTCGTGCGCTTCGCAAATCTCCTTTTTCAGCTAGAGAGAAAATTTATAGCAGAAACGTAAATAACACAAGAAACCATAAGAAAAACCAATGGCAAATCATAGAAAAAGTAACTAACAAGTTTGCTTATGTTTGGTTCACAAAATTTCACTGTTCGAGTACTGACGAATTCTCACAGCGACTTTTCGAGGGAATGTGGGTAAATCAGTTTGGAGAATTAACATCCTGATCCTAACATGAATGCTACCTTAGAGTTGGTTTTCTCCTCTTCTTCAAGCTGGGCATAAAAATCTCTATGTCTCGCCACCATGCCACCCTCGATTTCCTCCTCGTCGTATTCCAGATCACTGTCCTCAGACTCGCTACTGCTGATACTACTGTATGGCCGATGACGCTTCTTAGAACTCTGCCCCAAGCCCACTGACGAAGACGCCTGTAACGGCTTCGGCGTACCGTGAATACTGGCAATAGGTCTTGGTCCGGTTCCCATCTAAGAACAGAACATTGATATCAGACGAAAACGTCGAGGTTTTTTTTTTTTTTTTTTTCTTTTCTCTCGTCGACATGATAATCCGTTGATGGTCTTTCTCTACTTTTCCTAAATCAAAACGCATTTTTGTCTGGATTATAATTTGCAGAGCTTGCATGACATTTTAACTGAAAGTTCTTAATACGCTGATGACCTGTTCAGGCGAGGTAGGGGTGGAGAAGGATTAGTAATGGTGTCGGCCGTATCCGTTTCGACATCCCAAAGAGGCGTTGTTTGATGTGGTCACGAAACAAACTCTTTCCTACAGAATATGACGAGAACATGCAATGGTTGACCATGCAATGGAACTGGGTTTCGAGGAGTGCAATCCCTTTACGTGACACACAATACAAGAGAAGTGATATTGTGACAAAGGTTATCAGGGAAGCGCTGTGTGACGACAAGATACACAACTTTTACTGAGAAGACCGTGTACTCAGTTCTAACTCACCGTTTTTGGCCCGTTCGCTTCATTATCTTTGTGGTCATCACTGTCATCTATTCCTGTCACAGACAGATCGGAAAGCTCGGAAAATAGCGACGTCCTGGACAAGTGATCTACTGATGCCTGTGGATAAGAGTTAGAAAGAAGAAGTCAAGGGAAAAGAAACACTTCTGATAACTATAAAAATAAAATTGTCCTGATTCACGAAAGGGTGCGCAAGAGACGAAACTTTCTTTCTCTGTCTATAAAATTACACAGCCTGCTCTAAAGCTACTGGAACCTGTCTAATTTGGCCAAGTTCACTTGAGTTCTAAATATCGATTGTGGCGGATGGGAAATTTATTTTTGCTCTGCTAGCAATTATTCCCTTTCCAGCTGCAACAGGGAAGAACCTATCCCCACTTCCCAAAGAGAAAATTTGTCTGTAGAAGTATTTACATTACCTGCATCTTCATCTCATCCATCTGCTCCTGAAGGAATACATTGAGGTCCTTGGACTCGTTGAGTTCTTCTTCGCAATTTGCAAGCTAAGAGAAAACAAAAACAGAAACATTCAGAATAAAGGGAAAACTTCCAGTTGACATGGTACAGCCACTGGGGTGTCCTTAGGGGCCTGACGGAGTCCCACAAAAGAAGGCATTACTATTTCCAGGCGAGTGAGAGAGAGAAACACTTCCCATGATAGAAACTTGCGGTAATTAACTGAGGCCTACACATATCCACAAAAAAAAAAACCCAGAAATTTGACCAAATGTTTTTTCCAAAAAATTCCCTAAACATTTTCTAAATATCTTGATCACTCAAAATAACTAGTTTTGCTCTAAAATAAACCAATCATAAATAACTTGTGGCATCAAAATAAAGTTACACACTACAGTATTAACATATTACAATGGGAGATCTAGGGGAGGGACCTGGGAGGCCCACACCCCCCCTTATTTTGGGGGGTGTGGGCCTCCCAGGTCAAAATACTGGGCCCCCTCTTAGCTCAAAGTGTATCTGCCACTGATGTAGACAAATGTATATGAAGAGTGCTTTGCAAAATGTACTGAGTTAACAAACTCCAACCTGACTCTTGCTTGAGGTAAGTTTTTTCTCTAAAGAAAGATTCTTTGCTGTCAGCTCCTCCACTTCTTTGCTGAGGTTTTCCTTATTTGCTTCAAGATCAGCCACTGTTTTTGTCAGGCTTGCATTCTCCTCTTCTAGCTTTGTGAGCTGTGGAGAACAAAGTATGCATACCCACTGTTATTCATTTCTGGTGTATTGAGTAAATCATAAATTTCTTGTACAAAAGCCTCACAAAAACAGCTAAGGTCAAACATCCTTAACTCCTAAAATCACCCAACAGTGCATGTGCATATTCTCCCTACAGTTATCTTTATTTTCCTAAGGTCAGGGCTTGACACTAACGGTAGCCCACTAGCCACAGACTAGTAGAATTTCAGTTTTGGCTGGTGGTTTTCAATTAATCCACTAGCCAGTTTGGCTAGTAAACAGACTGAAATTGTCGTAACATCTAAAAACTTCTAAGATGTCACTACAGTTACCTGTATATTGGTGTCGAGCCCTGTAAGGTGCTGACTGTCAAGGAGAATTTGTTTAACAACCAAGAGCTTCTTTATCGGAGATCATTTCCTTTATTCTAATGTGACCTCAATGTGTGGTTTGGGGGTAATATGGTAAGGAGAAATGAGAAGTTAGTCACTCTCAGGATTTAAAGGGCTAAAGATTTTCTATCTAGTAAAGACACGCAGGGCTCGACACTAATTTTTTAATTACTAGGCGAGTGGCTAGCCAAAACTGAATTTCTACTAGTCTGTGGCTAGTGGGCTACCATTAGTGTCGAACCCTGGACAAGTACATGTACCAAGAACTGTACAACACCAGTTACCTTCTCCCAGAGCTCATCAATTTCATTCTCTTGATCATCATCAAAGCTAATTTTTCTGCTGACTTGTTTCTTAAGAAGGACAACATCTCTCCGAAGCTGTTCATTCTCCCCCTTTGCCTGAAAATGATAAATATTTATGTCAATAACATGCAGTAGTAGAATAGTAATTTCTACAAAATTGAAATGGGATGCTTTTCTATTATCACCAGCTACATCCATTTGGAAGTGGATGTTAATTAATGTTCCTGTTGTTTAATAATATATTGGGTTATAAAGTAGCCAACTTCGTGAAATCTGAAAACAAAGTGATGAAGCCACAAAATACAAAACCTGCAAAATGAAGACAAAAGGTTGTTGCCACAAAATATATAGCCAAAAAGTTTGGAAGGTAAAATTAATTCTTACCTTTGTTTGCTTAGTTTTAAATAAATACAATTATAACTTATTAAAAATTTCACATCATATCCTTCATTTTAAACTTGTCTAGTAGCTTTTAAGTACCAATACATCTTCTATGAAACTATTATGGTTTTAAGATGTAAAATCATTCAATAAATCAACCTGCCTTTGACAAGGGAAAAGCTAAAGCACAACAAATAACTAAAATTCAAATGAATTTTAATTCAAGGGCTTGATTCAGTTAACTTTTCTTACCATAAGACTATGCTTGTCCCCGAGATATTTTAGTTAAGCATTACTAATTTTTTTCCCTCTATATCATCTGTCTGATTCCAATACTTCAGTTCTCAACTCCCACCAACATGCATACTTTGCCAATAACTTCAACTTCCCCTATGACTCATACATTATTAACCACTTTTGAAAACACCTTTACTTCAAAATAAAACATCTTTGTGCAGAAACTTAGCTACACAGACAGATTTCTCAATTTTTCAAGGCTAGCATTATAATACTGATTACTAAATAGTATTTGTTCACCCACAAAAACTGCAGAGGGGAACACGTTTTTAAATCCATGAAAACTCAATTAATTAAATAGTGGTTTTTCAGGTAACCACAAATCTTTCCCTCTGGCAAGTTTACTAGAACATATTAGTTTCTGAACGTATTAAAGAAAAGTAGATGCAGGTTTTGAGACATTTTTCCAAGAAACAAAGGACAACTCATTTTGAAGAATATCATTCAGTCTGCATCATTTATATTTGTCACAAATACTGCTCCTTGTTTCTTCCAGCTCACATATTCTGTAGTTTCTCTCTGCACTTGAAAAACTTATCTGCCAGGATCTTCTGAGTGAGAAAACTGACAAAGCTTTCAGTGGGGCCAAGATCAGCATGGTATTAGAATTATAGATTTTCTTGTGCAGGATACAGATTGTAGCAAAAATACATGTCTAACATGTCACAACATGTCTAACATACTGTCAAAAATAGAGTGCTAACAGTTTTATTGATAAAAATATTGCCTGTGGGAGAAAACTGGTATTAAATTATTTGCATCACAAGGGAAAGATAATTTACACTCAGTTTCTCTCTGCTGATTTCTCACACTGATTAAATAACAGTGAAAGTAAGAAAGTGTGATTATCCAAGAACATCTTGTACTGATCGTGATGTGAATATAATTTTTCAAAACAAAAAATACTATTACAATAATCATTGCTATCACTGTATCACCATAATCGTGGAATTTCGAATCCGATCAAAAGAATAATCTACAAAGCTGAGGAATGATTAATGCTTTACTGAACAAACAACTTTAAATCCCTTTTTAATAAACTTCACATGACAGCTATAAAGGATTAGAAACTTTAAATGATCTGACATGTGGGTTAGCTTTATAGGCTTCCAATAAAGCAGGTTATGAGATTAAAAGGATATAAATTTATAATACCCATGTGACACTGTGAACTAATTTTTTTTGTACTTTCATAAGCTACTGAGGATAGGTGAGACAGTCATACTTTCATAAACACAGGATTTAGACCTTAATTGATACCAGATAAGCTGGTATTTTGAATTCTCTTGACATCCTGGTCCACCCCTCAATGACCATCTACTGCAGAAAACAGAAGCAAAGACTGAAATATTGACTAAATTAGTCTGACTTGGAACTTGCCTGTTGACTTGGTCATAAAAGATAAAGGAGGTATTGTCATAACACTTCTGGTTGCTTAAATTGCACCTAGTAATTCAAATCTACTAGTCTGTTTGAGCAATTATGTAAATGAAATATTGAATAAACTGCAGAAGTTTTAATGACAATGAAAAGAAAACCAAAATTGTCTCATTTTCTGCCCAACGAAAAAGGTGAGAGATTGCTAAGTTTCTTCTCATTGACCTTTACGGAGACATCATCCCATTCAGCATGAACAGCAGTAGCTCAACAGAAACCCATTTCCTGGAGGGACAGATCATTGCATATTGAAGTTGAGTCTCCAACCTTCCCTCTTTATATCAAAATAATTTATTCAATCGGAATCTGATGAAAAATGCACCCTGAGAGTTAGCCATAACCAAGATGTGCTTGACTCCAGTGTTGAATTAAAAGCAGCACAGACAAGGAAAACCCACAAACACCAAAAACCCACAAACACGTGTTGTTAAAGATATTACAATTCAGCTTTTCTATTTTGCTTCAATTCATCTTTTTAAAACTGTTTGACAATAACTTTTGGAGAATCAGACAAAACTGCAAGCATTAATTAACACAACAGAATTTATTTGTTTAGTGGTTTTTCCCTTAAAAATTCTGTCAAACTGTGTAATTCAAAATGCCTTAAAACCACAATAACATGTCATCTTTAAAATAGGTCAGGTGGTTTATTTGGTGACAAAATATCAAAATTATCTACATCATGATTACAGAGATTGTTTAGACTGATACAGTGTGGTCAGAAAATTATAACATGAAGCAAATTGGTAACAAGAACTCATTTGGTCCACAGCACGAAGGCATTTAATGACTTCAAGAAATTCAAACTACTTCATACATCAATCTACATTCAATGCAGCTGAAACCTTCAATTTATAGCCACAGTTATGTAACTTGTTCTAGAAAAGAATCAGGTCAATACCATTTCTCCCAGCAACTGAAATAACGACAACAATTTTAATATGATTCATGGAAAGTTCCACTGCTTTGATGTAAATTTTCTAGAAATATGAGTCCAATTTATTGAAATTTGTCTTGCGTGACTTATTTAGCTTTCACATACAAAACACAAGGGCACCCTGTGGGCAATTTTTCTTTGATAGACGCGTAATTTTGAAAGAAATCTTAGTTTACGTTCATCCCAGATTCCTTCCATTTAGCTAAATTAGCAGTTTTCTCTTGTACTGTTTTTCAATCTGTATTGCAAAACAAAAGGCCTAGAAAGTCTATTCTTGACTGTTATGTAGTGAAAAAAAAACCAAATATTTGTAACCTTTCAGACAGCAGTTTTCAAGAATACTGACTCAAGGCTAGTCAAGTACACACCCACAGGGTGACTGTATTGTGAAGTATTACGATAAAGAATCTTTAGGCACATGGTTAATAAAAGTCTCTCAGCAGCATACGCATCTTTTGTTTACGAAACAGACTTATCAAATTTTCTTTGTTGACAACAGCGCACAAAGAGAGTTCGTAATCAAAAATGGGCTGTTTTTCTTAGCCGGTAGAAAACTCCAGGGTATTGCAATATTCGTGTATTGGCTCACGAAACTTCCATTCTGAAGCCAATATCGTGTTTTCTTTACCAAAAATTTGAGAATATATCAATGGTTGATCACTTCAAACTAAATAAAGCACGTTACAAAAGATCTGTTTTGGTGCACGTTCCGTGTATGATTCATGCACCTGGGCAGACATTCACGCCCAGTTGATTTAGATTTGTGAATTTTCGTGAATGCTGGCTTCGTTGGTTCCTTTACAGCCGGCATAATAATTCCTTAGATGTAATATAAACTTTCCTTGCGATTCATAGGAATACAATTGACTAGTTGAAGAACTTCCTTCAGTAATTGTTCACCATGCTTTTCTTTTCTATTAGCTTGATAGGTACGTCGAAAAGACACGTAGCCCTGTTTTCTAGTTTACTCTAATGTCGGTGAAGAAACGGCGATCGAATGTCAATACGAAGGTTGCTTCCACCAGCAAAAGGCACGACATATAAGCGGCTAATATTGTAGCAACCGCAAATTTCTCGCTGAAGATGTCACTGAAACCTCTCAGTGTCAAGTCAGCGTTGATATAAAACGAAATGACTCCGTCTCAGAGTTTCAGCCAGACGCCAATAACGTTTAAGATAGTGTAAGCGATTTCGACAAGGTGCAAATGGGATTTGCTGACAATTAAATGTACAAATTTAGCCTGCTACAGAAAATTTCCCCTGTAATTTGACGATGTACACCACCAAAACCTAAAACACTTAGTTCCGAAAATATTTCACAGATATTTCACAAATTATTTGGACAGTCAAATGTGATCAAAGTTATCACTTACGTGGAGGTAGCTCGTTTTGTTTGAAACACGTTATTCAGTTAGCGCTTCAGCCATTACAACTTCCCTGTGGACTGATTCCTACTCGAATAACACTAACCAAACTTCCAAGGCGGATCGGGTTTCAGCGGGCTAAAAGTAGTTTAAAGCTTATTTACAGGTGAAATTCCGGTGTAAAGCTTTTAACGTTTGTTGTGTACACGGATTTCGGAACTAAGCCTTACGAAAGTTTCAATTCATTACGGTAATTCTAACCTTGGGTGCATTCCTGTTTCAAAATAAAAAATAAACAAAAGCTAAGAGGGCAATCAGTTCACCTCCAACTCTCTTTTACCCCGAAAAAAAATTCTCGTCACGTTGAGAACGAGGAAATGCTCACCTTTTGAAGATCCAGATGAAGTTGTTCATTCTCTTCCGTGAGTCCGGCGAACGTTTCTCTCTTGTTTTGTTTGTCGTTGTTCGTGTCCGACTGGAGTGTTTTCAATTCATTTCGCAGCGTTCTCAAATCTGCTTGCAGTTCGTGAACTCTCGAATCGCTCCCGTTTTGCAAACGTTCCACTTTCAGTTTTAGCTCATATTTATCTTGTTCCAGTGCCTAAGGAAACAGAAACTTTAGGGTTTAAACTCCATGATGACAAAAATCGCACGCGAGCTTATCCGCGCAACCTGTCCTGAACAAATTCATTCGCGCATGTAAAACGAAAAAACGGATCTAGCGACCAAAAAAACAACAAAAAACCTACTTCAGCTGCTTGGGAATATTCTTCCTGTAATAACTCATACTTCTGACTAAGCTCTTCGTTCTTCTCCAACAAAGCTTTCCCAAGTTCTGCAGCCAAGAGAAGGTCCTTTTCCTTTTGCGCTAACTGCCGATAAACATCATCGGTTCCGTCATTTTCGGCGAAAATTTCTCCGTCTTCGTCTGACGCATTACAGTGAAAATCCCGTTCAAATCCGTCACAATCCTCTCCATTTACATCTTTATCACCGTGAAAATTTTCTTCACCAATTTCAAATCCATTCATGTCCAAAGAGTAAACGATTTCTGGTGGGATCTTCATTTGCTTCAATGCCAGCCGACCGCCATAACTTTCACGCATCAGTAAAACCTCGCACATGACCAGAGAGGAATAGACGTAATGTTTTGCGTAAACGAATCGAACAGAATTTGCATGAACGTTCAATTGTTTTCCGCTGCCAGGCGAAACGTCAAAATGACTTAGCAAACTGTTTTGTACTGTAATGCAAATCTGCTCGATTTATATTCAGCTTATCAGCCAATCGCATGTTTTTTCCTCGCCGCGGGCCAATCGAAAAAAACTTTAATTTGCGGAAGTAATGCATTAGGCAGCTGAACACGCCAACGTCATGGCAGGTTTTTAGCGCACACTAAATTTTTGCAACTTTGATTTTTCGCGTTTGTCCCTTCTCACAGTAACACTTTCGACAGGAAAAAATCTCTAAGCAGTGATCTTGATCCACTTCTCGATAATCAAACGGTAAACAAAAAAATATCGCTTCGTTCAATCGGCAACTTTCAATATAGACAGATACAATCGACCACCGACATAAATATCCTTTCCTCATTTGAACTCTAATGTTCAAGTAAATGATAGTATAAAACTGAGAATTACAAGAAAAGTACGAAAAAAGGTTAAACAAATTTTAAGCCCTCATATATTTTTTCAACAGTGGTAAGGCAAATGCATAAGTTGAAAAAAAAAAAAGAAATTCTGACGTCATATAATTCACGGAATCGCTCAATTTACTCGAGGGTCTGAAGTGAGTCAGAAGCGAGTCACGATCCATTTAGAGAGGGGCAAATAAAGCAAATTTCTGCTAATTTTTACAAATTTTAGCTTGAGACTCTTATGGTGCGAAAATGCGAATTTTCACCTTAAATTTCTGAAAACTTACTTGATACTGCTAAGAGAATTGCAGTCATTACAGCAACTACGACTTCAAAAGGCAAAAGAACAGGTTATAAAATGTTGAAAGCTATTAAACTTTTAAATTAGGGGGTCAAACATGCTTGAAAATAATTTTTGCTGTTGCTTTGAAACTTCCTGTTTCCCTTACCAGTTCCTGTCAGTAATGGAGTAGAAATTGCAAACTCAATTTTCAGTTCGTGTTAGCTCAGCCCGAATTAACACAAAGAGGGTCTACTATTATTTTTTTTTTAATACAAGAATCTCGTCGCTATTGAAAAATAATTGTTAATAAGCCCGGCTCGCTCTCACCCCGCTAAAGTTCAAGAACTCCTCAGGAGTCTTGCCGACTTCACTTAGTTGCGCCTGTCAACGGAAAAGAGTCATTATATCAACTCTAAAGTAAGAGAAATGTTTCATCGAGTTGTTGCGATCATATCAGTTTAAAACTTCCACGCCAGAACACAACTGACAAAAATAGCTGTAATGTAACTGAATATCTTGACTTCATTGAATTGCTGATAAGAAACTCTAAGTAAATAACGCTCACTTTTAGACCTCTGACAGAATCGGATGTTCAAACCTGATCACTTGATAACCGATCTAACAAGTGAATCAACGATGAATCATCGGTGTATATTTTTATCGAAATGATATCAAATATCTTGGTTTAGCCGAGAAAAAGGGACGAGCTAAATCTGTTGCGTTTTGTTTTGGGATATTTTCGAAGGAGTTATCGTAACTGCAATTGAGACAAGAACATGATACTCAGCCGGTGATCGTAGTGACGTAGTAATCTCGGAAATTCCCATTTAGTAGGAATGCTACAAAAACACGCCATAACATCTTGACTCAAGAGCGCGAGGGAAATTTTGGTTTACTTATAAACGGGGCTGATCAGTGGAAATTAAATAGAGAAAATAAATTGTGCAACAAAACGGGATTTCAAGTCAGAGGTCTTAAGTAGAAATCGGCCTAAATTAGAACGAGTTGTCCCAATATCGGCTAATCCAATACGAAGCTTTTAAAATGATCACGCTTCTTCTCCTTGAAATCAATGTTTGTGTTTTCCACTGTGTTTAAATGTGTTTACAACAGGGGTTACATTTTATTAATAACATTCTTTGCTTTTGTTAATTCTTTTCCCCTTACCCGTCCTGTCTCCCTCGTCGAAGATCGCGTTATTAATTTTCCTTACCATCTACCATCACTCATGATGTGAGTTTGGATAATTTTTTTCTTGGATCAGCTAATAATCCTTTAATTCAAAATATTTTTCTTTGTTCTCATTACTTGTCTGCTTGATATTGGCTGGTCATGGAAGTGAAATTTTCGCGGCTTTCTGAAAATCAGTTTATACGCCTAGATAATTCTTTTATTTGCAAATTTTCATGTCTCGTCTTCAATCAGGAGAAGCTTTTACATAGTAGTTTCGTAATTTGGTGCAAATCGAATGAGTGCGTCAGACAACAGCTGATCACACAACGATCATCACAGCAGCGGATTACTTACAACAGACGCAATCAACTCAAGTCACTCAGACATGCAGGTGTGAACGCGTAAGCCGTGCCAGAAGAGAGGAAGCAATTCTCGTCTACAACGAGGATCAGATTTTGAACTGACGTTCGATCGTTCATAGTTTCTATGATGAGTCAGGCTGTTAAAAAATATATATATATTACTTTAACCTGCATCGTATCAACTAATTGTTTCCCACGAGAAAGAAACTGGCTCTGGAACCATCTAGGTTTACAGTTTTAAAAGAAGCATAATCAAGAAATTTAGCCAAACGTGGGAGAGGTCAAACTCATACTAGGAAGATAAGTCGCCAAAAGCTACCCCAACCCCAGCGCCATGGAGCGTAAATGTAAGTCAATTGCCGTAATTTTGATCTACACAATATCTCGGCCYTATTCTGCCCGACGCCGATCAAGAGAGGCTGCCAAACTTTTAGGACATCTTAGTCTCCAAAACATACTCTTGTTCTTCTACAGGAAGAATTGGTCTTCTTTAGACTTGCTCCAAGTCGTTTTCTTTTATATACCGTGATTCAATTTCGGCGAAGCCGCGAGAAGTCTACCAAGTTCAAATACAGAACAAACAAATACAAATAAATACAGTTGCCAAACAAACAGTTGTCAACAAACAAATACAGTTGCCAAAATACAGTTACCAAATACAGTTTTTTTTTTCTAGTAGAAAAAAAAAAAGGGACTTTGGAAAGTCTAGTCTTCTTTTGACGAAACAGATGTCACTATAGAAAAATTTTTACGTATTTTTTTAAGCCTCAGGAAAGCGGAACAGCAAAACCAAGTTTTACCCGAAGTTGAAGGTCGCATTCCATTTGTATTAAGTCAGAAAACACTGATTAGGAAAGTGGAAGGAAAGCCGCATTCCGTTTGCATAATGTCAAAAAAACTGAAAGGGAAAGAGTGGAAGGGCAAAACTATTTTCCGATTCACCGAAGAAACGAAAAACGAAACCTGATCTGCGTGTGGCATACTTGAACTTGAACTTAATTTCTATTTAGACACGGTAAATCTATCAGATAAAATAATAATATTATTACAATCTATTATTACAATTACATTCTACTTTAATCTATATAAACATGATCTAAACTTTAAAAGTGAAATAGAAAAAATAAAGAAATTCTGCTTTACATAGATGCTGTGTGCGTTTTCTCGATTCAGACGAAGAAATCGCGACAACCATTTCGAAAAGATTGAAGTGATTTTGCTTGCCGCAGTTTAGGGGACAAGCTGTTCCAGCTAACCACACCGTTATAGCTAAAGCTATTTTTCAGGAAATTGATGCGGGGCAATGGAACAGCTAGTTTGTTTTCAGAGTTCCTTAGATTATAAGGAGGATCATATTTAGTGAAAAGAGAACCAAGATAGTCGGGCGCAAGACCATGTATAGATTTAAAGACCATGGTGGCCACTTGTATTTGTCGCTGGGTATCTTACCGTCTTCAGTTAAGTTGCTCAAAAAGAAGATCACTGAGCGCTTGTGTCATAACTGGAGAAGGTCAGAATACGAGCAGCCCGGTTTTGCAACTTTTGGAGCTTATTCGAAAGACCTTTGTTACAATGCCCCCAGACCTCGCTGCAATAAGTTAAAGTACGGTTGAACTAAGGCATTGAAAACGGACTCAAGCGTGGTTCCGTTAACAAAAGACCTACAAGGTTTAATTGCTCCAATGCCTCATGCGATTTTCTTGGCTATTTTTTCAATGTGCATATTCCATGGAAGGTTTTCGTCTATATGCACACCCAGAGATTTAACCGAGCTAACTTGTTTAATTATGTCACCACCTATGATTAGTTTAGGGGAAGTATCGTAAGTACCTTTCTTCTGCCGGGATCCAATTAACATGAATTCAGTTTTAGATGAATTTAGAGTCAAATTGTTTGCAGTAGTCATGTATTACATTGGATAGGTCGTGATCCATAACATCATTGATCATTTCTATGTTGTTACTGGCAAAGGTTAGGTGAGTATCGTCGGCATACATACGTGCAACTGAATTAGACAGACAATTAGGAAGATCATTTATGTATAAAACAAAAAGCAAAGGTCCTGGGTGAATTGTTCCTTGCAGAATTCCACAAGTGAGAACTTGACTAACTGAGAGCGAACCATTTACGAAAGATTGTTGATTGCGATTATCTAGGTATGATCTAAACCATTCATAAGCGATACCGCGGATACCATATTCGAATAATTTAGACATAAGAATTGTATGGTCAACGGTATCAAAAGCCTTTTTTAGGTCGAGAAAAACTACTGCATTTATACTGCCTTTATCAATGTTGAAGGCCCAATTGTTTGTGGCCTCCAACAAGGCAGTAACAGTTGAATGGAGCGAACGAAAACCAGATTGTTGGCTGGAAATCAAATTGTGTTCAGTGAGATAACCGTAAACCTGGTCGTAAATGATACGCATAGACAAAAGTAAGGTCAAGTAAGTTAATGATACTGTCAACGCTAGGTTCCACCTAAAGCAAAAAGACTAAAAAGAAACATGGTGTGACTATTAAATTTTACTTTAGGTTTATTATCTTACAAAATCGAGGCCCCATCCACATTAAATGCGTTTTCAAAATTATCTCAGCGGTCTCGTCTCAAATACTAAAACGAAACAAAACACTTTCATCCATGCATTGTTGTTGTGTTCGTGACGCTTTCACTTTAATATCCCCACTGTTTGTTATTGATTTTGTTTAAGTAAAGTAAAGCTTTATTCACACAGGGTAGCCCATTCAGCTCTAAGGCTGGTATCCATACGGGCCCTGTTTCTTAAAATAATTTACATCAAGATTTTCAATTATATATATGACTACAATTTTAAAACTACATTTACAGCCTAAGACTACAAAGCCAAAACACAGTTAAGACCTAGCTAAAATAGTAGAGAAAATATCAAAGTTAAGATAAAAAGAAATGTCTTGCTCAGCGGCAGAACGTTTGAATATTTTCACTCTTCACAAAAATTTCTGTGCCAGTAAAAAGAAAGGTCCTTTTCACAAAATTTCTTTTTACTTTTGGTAGGGTTTTTACTTTTGCCTTGTGGAATAGTTGTGAATATTCGAAAATCTGGTAAAATATGATGAAAAGTAACTAGGAACTAATGAGTGAAGACAAACAAGGTTAGCCTTGTGGTAATAGCGTCTACTGAAAAGATTCGGCCATTGCAGCTGCTCTACCGTCGAGAGCAACGTGTAATAATCCGTGCAGATCTATTTTGTAAGCGCTGTAGTCGATCTATATCTTGCTGTAGAAGGTTACTCCAGGCAATGTCACAGTAATCAAATAAGGGAAGAATTAAAGCATTATGAACAAGTGTTGCTGCCTCTTTTGTGACGAAACTTCTAATACGGCCCAGAATACTAACTCTTGACGCCACCTTTTTGCACACATAGTCCACGTGAGCCTTTCAAGTCATAAAATTGTCGAACACCACGCCTNAATTTGTATAGGTAATCGCATGGGGCCGAGTAAAATTAAGGATTAATATCACGCGTGTTTTCGGAAGTTGCTGAAATTGCCCGAGTCGCGCAGCGACGAGGGCAATTTCTGCAACTTCCGAAAACACAAGTGATATTAATCCTTAATTTTACGAGGAACCATGTGATTACTTGTTTATAATATAAGGGGCAAAATGTTTTCTTACTGATCTCGCGCAAAACGGGACGCCATTGTTACAAAACAAACAGAAATTTCTTTACCTTGGCAGCCGTTGCTAAGCGATTTTCAGCCAATCATTTTCAAGTAATTTTGCCCGGGGCAATTACAAAAATTAAGAAAAAATGCCCTCTGTCTTGACCAATCACAATTCAGTAATTTTGCCCCTCATATGATAAAAATAATCAGTGGTTAGGCAATGTCACATGGAGTTCCTCAAAAAACAAAACAATCCTAACCAGTATAAGCAATATTTTATTCTTTACTACAGAGAGAAATAAACAACAAATATTTAAGTACAGTAACTTATCTATATTTAATAGGCACAAAAATACTGTTTGGTAATATTACCACTTTGGTGGTTTCTGTGTTGATTAAATTTTAAGACATACAGAATCAGTTTAACATGTAAATCAAACATGATGAGGTAGTTATTTTTTATTGCCACAACTGATGTCTTTACACACAACTCTAAGTTCAGAGCATTACTGTTGTATTTAAAATGTTAGAAATTGTCCATTGGTCACTCAGGGGAGTTAAAGCTTGCCTTACTTCCTTGAATATTGCATTCCACTAAAATTACAGCAATAAGCAGAAGTCTTCTTTACTAATATTGCCAAACTAAATCAATATAAAAAGATAGCGACATAGCAACAAGTCTTAATTTGTGCAGAAATATGTGTAACCATGGTTGCCACCTTGATTGGATTTTGAAATTCTGTGACAACCTTAAAATTTCCCAAACCAACTGAATTAACAATTCAAACCCTGGATCCTAATCATGACCTCTAACCTCCACTATTCCTCTTCACCCATAACCTTGTACTTTTGGCAAGTCACATACAGTGAACATGGAAAGATAATTCATTTAGGTATAAACATGGAAAAAGGATTGATTTTCTTGGAAACCTGACATCAGTTTGTCATTCAATTTCATTAAATATAATTCTAGCTGTCCAAAACCTTTCATGTCTGTGAAATGTACCAATGGGTTTAAAATGTTTGAAAACAATGAAGAAGAAGAAAAAATTTAGGCTTTTATTCCTATACAACTTGAACTTGCATTACAAAGACAAAGGATGTGCTGGTCAAAAGTCAGTCAACTGTTCTTAACAATATGCGTGAGTAACATCAATATCACAAAAAGGGAAGTGTCCCCAACTTTTATAGAGAATAGAGCCAAGGCAAGATGGACTACTTCATATTTACTTGAAATTTTACTTTTTCTCTGATTTCTTTCAAAGATGTAAATTTTCTCTGAATCTGAGTGAAATTCCCTGACTTATCCCTGACCTTGAAGAATTTTGGTTTTCCCTGACTTTTTCCTGACCTTTGGCAACCATGGTAACAAGAAAGAAAAGATTTTATCCAGGCCCTCCTCACTTGTATCAACAAAATATGTTCCCTTCAACATTTGCTCAAAATATTTCCTACTCACTCACCTGAAATACTGCAAGGAAGGCTATGACATTGGCAACAACAAATACTTTATAAAGCTTTAGACTTGATCATTCAACAAGCAAAAGAAATGTTCTTTAGCCCTTAAACATTTGTTTAGTCATTGTTTCCAGAAATCAGATAAGATTAGTTTAAAACTATGAACCCAACACCCATACTGAACAATTTAATGTGTAAAAGGAAAGTTAACGTTGCCTTGAAATTATAATGAATATAACGAAAAAGCTTATTTGTCCACTAATAAAGTGCAAAGCAGAAGATTCTGATCCTAATAACGGTACTTGGTGGAATAATCCTTGGGTGAAACAACCAAACCTCGGCCTTTCCGCGCTCCACGATAAACAGTCTCCACAATATCAACCATTTCTTGTTTATCCTCCAAAGCCCAGTTGATCTTATTGTTATTTCCTGTGCCCAAGTCAATCATGATGTGCTTGTTTCGATAAAAGAACATGGTCGTACAGGGGTCATACAATTCATACATTTTGTTAAAATCCGGACACTCTGTAATATCCACTACGTAGATCACTGCAAAGTTCTTCACTTTATCCGCAATGGTGTATAATACTTCGTCCATTTTCATGCATGTTGGATCCCAATCGTGACCAAATCGAATGACCACAACTCGATCTTCTTCCGACATGATTGCCTGATCAACTTGCCAACCATTTTTAAGATGCTGAAGCATGTAAGACATTTTGGAAGCTGTTCTTGGACCCTTCTTGAGTATCAAAATCTAAATAACGATCAAGGGAAGGTCTCAGTGTGTGCTGAAGTGAATTTTGCACTCAATTTTCGTTTCCAATTACGTTCCTTTGACGTTGGTAAACAAGATGGCGGAAGCCGGCTATCCCTTCATGCAATAGTGTTTGATAGTAGTTCCAGTCTTTCATAGTGAGAAACTGTGGTGCTGTGTCGGTGGGGTAACAAGGTAATTTGGTTATATCAACTAAGTTGAAATTGTAAATTGGCCACCGTAGAGCGAATGACGACGGGCTAACGCTCGAAACGTCAGCTTTTTTATTCGTTACGGTGGCCAATTTACAATTTCAACTTAGTTGATATACTGAACCAAATTTCATAGTGAGAGATGAAAAATTAAACAAGTTCCTGATGAGGACTCGGGAATGCGGATCAGCACCCTGGAGTTTAAAGTACAGTTCTGTCAAGACAGTTGCGATATTATCAAAAATGTCGCATAAGGTGGAAAAAGAGTCCTAAATGGACGAGTTTCTCGTGTGTATCACTGATTGAAGTGCTTTGCATTGAAGGAAACATTCCGATAGAAAAACTTTGGGACAATAATCTCGGAACAAGACGTCAATCTTCAGTTTCTCATACTTGAAGAGATTAATTTATCCTATACCAGCTCAGAGGAGCTTACCCGGTATTGAGTCCTCTTCCATGGGAAAAAAAAAAAAAAAAACAGCAACAGTAAAGTGATACTTAGATATGATATAAAAAAAAAACCCTTCTCTTTAATAAGTGGTACTCATTGCTATTGCTTTGCTAATTAAATAGCCTGGGAGGGGAGGGATATTGAAGCAGGGGCACCTACCAGGGAGGAGAGAGGATGAAGCTAATGGGGAGGGGGGGGTTACATCAAGGCCTGAGATGAGTCTGTCCTATGCTTCGTATGTCTCGCGTCTTCTCAGGGATAACAAAGAAAAACATTATTGTAAGGCAGAGCACTATGTAAAGATCTTTGTCAAATTATCTATGTACTGATTTCCTTAGACGTAATTCAGTGGTGTCATTGTAGTATCACCGGGTATTTTTTAGCAATTGCGCTGTATTTTGACGAGCGCGGTAGTAAGATCACAAGAGTTAGTTATTTTAAGAATGTTTAAGTCCTAATGTGTAAGTCCTAAAAATAATACGAGTCCTTAGTTTCGCGACACTAATACCTTCATATCCGGGGTAGGTGTCGTTTCCACTACAAACAAAGATTGGTCTGCCTTTCAGATGCCGTTTGAGACGGTGTTAAGATCATAAAAATAGCACGGAAACCTCGATTTACGTAAGGGAAGAAAGTTTTTTTTCAGGAATTCTGATTTCTCTAAATAGTAGGAGTGATTCACAACAGCGGGGTTTGCTAATTTCAAAGATTCGCGGTTGAACCAAGCTTGCGTGCGACTGTCTCAAATATGAGAAACCGACAAACTGACCACATCCCAGAGTTCCTAGCTGTATTGAGAGAATATAAGAGGGCAAAGTTTTTGCCTTAAAGAGAAGAATTCAAGGTTGATAATCTTCTTCCGGTGAGGCGGTTCGTTTTAACGAATCAGTTAGATGATAATTTCCCGGTTTTAATGATGGTAAAACAATCTGTTTTTTTTTTTCGGTTAGAACTTAGAGTAAAAATTCCAAACGTTCACAAACTGTCTTGCAAACATCTTCCACTCGCTGTCCTTTGACAATACCGAATATTGGCGGGATATAGCTAATATCGCCCACTTTCCCATTAAAACGAGTAGCATCCCCATATATTATGATGAGCACTCTGTTAAGAGTCTTAAGTGTCTGCTGCATGTTGGTGTTCGTATAAATGATGATAGGAAATGTGGGAAAAAAACATATACTTCTTTAGGCTATAGCTCTGTATCTTATATAATCATCGTGTATTTTGTTAGGGGAAACCTCATTTGCGTTAACTCTCAACGCATCTTTACATATCCTTTTGCGCTGCTATAGTTGAGTTAATAGACCTCGTCAATGGTTACCATTTTAATCATTCTGAGAGGAGAATGTTCCTGCCTTATAATTAGCGCTGGGAAAGAACCAAAAATGGCGAACAACATAATAAATTACATTTTCACAAGAGTTTTGAAGTACCAATTTTATGTCTAAAAATACTTCAGTCCGGCGGGTTCAGTACACTTGAGTTTCCATGGTGACCTTGTCCTGGGTTGAGGCAGGAGACTGTTGCTACGCCACAAGAGCAACACGAGCCATTGTTGGACTAATTCAAGGTGTAAATGAAGCACCAACAGCATGGATACTGTCACCAATATAAATCTACTGTTGCACCAGTTTTGGTTCAAGAGTTTGGAATCGTTACACCCAGGGGTCTTTAGTATGCACCTTCTGTCCAGGGAGTCTTAAATCCCTATCTTTCACTCAGGGGCACAAGTTATCTTACAGTCATTTCATCTTTTATATCCATATATTCGAGTGGGGTGATTTACACCAGGGAGTCGTCTTAGATTTTACTTCTGATTTCCCAATATGGGGATATGCCCGGATGTTGATGATAATCCGCATTTGAATGGCGGCATCGGGGGCCTTCAAGGACTGTTTTCCTACTTTATAACTTCCCAGCACGAGGGGAAATTAGCAATATTAGTTCGTATCAGCAAGTACCATTCATGTATAATTCTTGAATTAGGCAATATAACATATAACAAAATTTCTTTGTCCACTGCTGAAATCATTCGGACGAGGTGTACAAAATCTGAAAATCAAGATCTCTCTTTTTTTTTACAAAGCCATTTTGGCGCCGAATCAATGACTCTTCGTTCATACAAAAGAAAAAATTACAGAGAAACAATAACAACAAATAAAACAAGAGAAAAACCAGAACTTCATATCTCTCGTTTGTTTCTGTTACATATAGATTATCCATGTGCAATATATTTAATCATCCGATCGAAGTTCAAGTTTCTTGTTGACAAATCCAGCCACACCCCACACCACTTGTCAACGAATATAGTCGAGAAACACCCCGCGCTAGCGCTTCATATCCTCAGAAACTCATTAGCAATAATACACAGTGAGCTTCCTGGCTCCCGGCTTGAGAACTGCTTCAGAGAATATCAAATTCAAAATAGCTGTCAGATATTAGTTTATTCTTATTTTGATCAGCAGGGATTTTTCTATTCTTATTTTGATCATTTTTTTCTAAGTTTTGATTCTTTCCTCAACAACTCATGATCATAAGTGTGTTTCAACTGTTCTTGATTCTTTGAGCTTAGGCACCAGGCATCATTTATCGCTGAGGGAGGGGGGACGGGGGGGAGCTTTAGGGGATATCACATGGTTTTCAGGGGCAACGAAGGGGAATCAATCGTCGCCAACAGAGTTTCAATGATGGAAAATTTACTACTAAATAACTGTCAATAAGCGGAAGGATCAAGAGAACATTATAGATTCTCATGGAAGCTTCGTGACACAACCAAAACCCTCCATATCCCCCCAATCACGAGGTTGAACTCTCCCCAGGCAACGAGGATTGTTCCCTTCCTTGGGTTCCCTTACTTGTTCCCTTTTCCGTTTCTGGAGTTCATATTATTCTTGGGATTTGTGTTGTTGTCCATGTTAATGTTTTCATCTTTCACGAAGCTTCTCCATACCAAGGCCCTTCGAACCTCCTTATTTCCTGTTTATTTGTCACTAAAGTAACAAGCCATGTCAGTCAAACGGTGATTCTGAGAGAATTCAGGATAGGTTTTTAGCATGGTTATTTAACTACATCTGGATTTATCGTTTGTAATCCTCCTGACTAAAATACCCACCCTCCATTTCCAACCCTCTGAACTGTAAGAGTGACCAGCATCTAATTTCTCCCTACAACACTACTGAGAATCGAGAAAAAGAAAACCAACCTGTGAAGCTTTCGAGACTGACTAACGAATTCTCCTTAACTTGCCGGTACCAAACAAATGCATGGAGAAGAGTTTCGAGAACACGGATACTGATGTCAGGGTGAAAAGGATTGTCTCGGACCGAGTAATTTTGACATTTGTGTCAAGCTTTGATTGTGTCTTCGAATGATTGAGAGTCAGAAATTTGACTAAGGCTGAGACAGATGAGACAGATTTTAGAGAAAACGGCCCTGATACCTTCGACAGAATTTGCCTTTCTAGCAAGGTCATCAGTTCTGAGACACCACATGGACAGCAGTTGTTTAGAAATATAGGACAGCTAGATTCCCTCTCGTTGCTAGCCATGGAGAAATGAGGGATTTTATTGTCAAGTAATTCCACTCAATTATTTACTTTTATTAAAGATAAAGTTTCACATCAATAGTGACCTTAGATTCGCCTTATAATACTTATTAGGGAAAAGATGTAAAACCAAGCCCGCTCACACATCTTGGTGGTAAAATAGTTAAAGTTCTACTCAGTAGCTACTTGATTAAAGTGATAAAAACTAAAAATTAACTTTAAAAAAATTTCCAGAGAGCTCTATTCCGGTTCTTCCTTGATTTCGATAGACAAAGACGGTCTGTTCTTGAAATTAAACCCGTGCCGTTGTCTACTTTGAAGTTTTGACCGTATATCTAAAGTGGGTTTTTCAGTCCGGACTTCTTCCATTTTATCTTCTTTCTTCTCAATTCTTCCTTTCCATTTATCCCTCTTTTCTCTCCTATCATCGTCCTCGTCACTTTCGCTGTCGTCGTCTTCGATGGCATCGGCGTGCATGCGCATACGTAGATTTCCCGGTTCACTCCTCTCTGGCTGACCGTCGTTGGTGACGACAATCTTAAGCGGGGGTTCGTCGATATCCATTTTTTCTTCCTTTTCAGTTTCAATCTTGTCGAGGAAGACAACTTCTGGACCACTTGAATACATGTGCTTCACTCGTTCTTGTTCTTTCAACAATTTCCTCTTTCTGAAAAAAACGAAAGGATGTTTTAAGAGTGCCTTCGAAAGTAATCCGAAAGTGTTTGCATGGTTTTTATTTACTGAGTTCTGCGATTGTTTGAAGCAATATGCCACCTCCTCAACCAATCACATGTAAAACCGCCTTAGACGCACGCGTTTTCCCGCTATTTCCCCGCTATTTTCCCGCTATTTTCCCGCTATTTTCCCGCTATTTTCCCGACACTGGCGCTTGTTATGTGCATCATCTTTGTACTTCGACTGGATTTATCGAATTAAAACTTTTTCTGATAGACTAATGTAGTCGTTTGTAGCTTTTACTAGAACCCCTAAGAAATTCATTACCTTGATGAACTGATAATGCCTTTTTTTCCACCTAGAAAAAAGAAGAGGATGAAAACTATAACTGGGTGTCCTTCAGTAAACTTTACCTACGACATAAAAATCAAATTAACAACTTGACGAAAGCAAATCACTCAAGAGTGATGGCCTTTTAAATGACACGGGAACTGTTTCTTATTCTGTAAAAACAAAGGGCCGGTTATTTGAAAAAGTTTAGCCGTTGTGTAACAAAACTGCGCTCTAAGCCATCTACCATTCAGCCGAACTTTTTATCTGATCATTAATTTGGTAAACAGCGTCAAGAGGACCAAAAGCCAACAGTGGAAGAACACTTATTCAATCAAATCAACTCTATTATGGAGAATCCCTGAGGCCCACTGCTTGCGTAAAACCGCGGTTTGGGTTAGACCTCGTGTAAAATAACAAGACCAAACCGTTTATTTAGGGATAGAGATCGGAGTGACAGAAAACCTCATATTCATAATAGGAGACCCACCTTGTCCAGGCTCATTTGCTTTACCATTGATTAAGTAATACATGCTTCTTCGTGCCGCCCCTGGTAGTTTCTTGTCTTCTAGAGCATTTCAAAACAACAGAGAATGAGTTTCACGAAACTGCAACCTATTCCCGTACTTCTAAAAACTGCGCGAGGTTGCTTAAAGCAGGATGAAGCTAAGTCGGGTTAGTGCAACATTTTTAATTCAAGGTGTAGAGACTGACGAGTCTGGCGAATATTAGCTTGAATTATCACAAGTCTTGCAAAACATGTACATGGTCTTTGACATGATCTCGAAATTTTCTCTACTAATCGGTAAGAAATGGTAAGATTTTCATTACCTTGAATTTGCGCTTGAGTTTGAAACAGCGTTAAACGTGTGAAGCAGACTTAATTCAATCGTGTGATGAACAACTCGGCCTTGTTTATCGTTCTGGTTCTATGCTAAAAAGTTCAGCCAGCCACAGTAAGTGAATAGGGTAAGAATTGCTAAAAACCACCGACGTACGCAACCTACTTTTCGTGGCCAATCGTAAGAGAAGACAATTGGCTTTGGGATGAGGAGGGCCTTGCTTCCATCTGACTTCCACAGCATCACTGATATCCTCGTCTACTTGAAATCAGAAGGCAAGTGATGGTTAGCCAGCAAAAAGAGTAACTTTTAATCGAGTGTCGAAAATAATTCGGGAGAGCTTTGGCTTTCCTTTTTGTCACTCTCTGAGTAGTCTACAAAACTCGCGCTCTCCTATGAACCAATCACACGCAACACTAGACTTCGTCGACTGCGTTTTCCCGCACTTTTGGCCGTTAGCTTATTTGTTCTTTGAGTTCTGATTGGCTTCTTGTAATATCCTCTTTTTTTCTCATTGGCCGGTATGATTTACTTTCGTCTTGGATTAATAACACTCAATGAAAAGCGTTCTAACGACTAGAACACTTGAAGGTTTGGCTATTTTAGGAAAGGCTTGTGTCCTTTACAAAATTTCCCACTGAGCGCACCGAGGATAACAGTCTCGCATTTTGATTCAACTTTACAAAACAAGGGGGCAAGAAAATTGCCCAAGGCCGAGAAGACAAACCGAGATAGTCAGAGTTCAAGAAATATCACACAGTTCATTGTATTCTGAATCAAACAAACCGACTTTACGAATAAAAGTGTTTTATGTGGAGAAATAACATCAACCTTTTTTAAAACCTGCAATTTTTTTTAAGTCAAAGGTGCAAGAATCTATCTTAAGAGCATCTTGAGTTTTTATAGAGAGCGAAGTTTTTTATCACAAGGTATAAAATTGTGGAGGTAGCCTGTCTCTTTGAGTATGATGTAAACTCATTTGAGAATTTATTTACCAGTTGGTTTTTGTATTTCTTTCCCTACTGCCATCAAAACTCTAGAAGCAGTGAATTCATCATCCCAAACTACATTACCTATAAATAAAATAAAAAATTATTGAGAAAAAATATTTAAATATCCTGGTTAAATTTCACAAAATAGCATGATATCTTGGCATTATTTGTTTGCATAACCCATCTGTTTCATCATTCCTAAGTGGTGTGGTGCACCCCTTCTAAAGAAAAACTTGGCTCTGCCCTTGTAGTGTAGAGTAGACAAGACCTTTTTCCTACATCCAAAACAATATAAAAGCCATGGTTGTTTTATTTACATCAGTGTCTGGCTTCAGCAGATAACCCAAAACCTCAACCTAAATAATTCTTATCCATTAATCATTGTCATTTGTTAAATTTTATAACATAACCAAAGTAAAGCGCGCGCTCTGATTGGTCAATTTAGCGTCCCCTTTTTGTCCATGGGTGTACGCTGCCGACGTGAGCAAATGCAAAGTCTATTTTTCTGTGCTTGCTTGTTTTTTCTGGTCACGTAAGATTTGTTAAATAAAAGGGAACTCTTTAGCTACAATGTATCAATGTTATGTTATAAAACAAATGGTAAACACCACAGCGTACACTATTGAGTTATGGATGCACTTGGGAGGTTTGCTAAGAACTCAAGAAGCTAGAGTCGCTCTCGGCTATCGCCTCGAGTGACTCTTATGCTTCTTTCGTGCTTAGCAACCTCCTAAATTCACCATAACTCAATAATGTATGCTGTGGTGTTTACCATTTCTAAAACTGAGGTCAAGGACTTACATGAAGAGTCATCAATCCATTCTACAGACCCAGGGGCAAAGTCACTGAAATAAGCAAACACATCCTTTGTGCTCATTTCATTCACTCCATGAATAAGGATGGCATCCAATCTGGTTTCACCTTCAAACAAACAGTCAGTGTCAAGTATACAACATGCAATATGTTAATGAAATATGAAGCACCTTTCACTTGAATGCTTAAAGAAATGCATGATCATTTGGCTTTTTTTTGTAGCCAATGCAAGCAACTGACTTCTGATCCTTCATTTGGGCTTTGATCACATGCACTTTTCCATGCATATGGCTGATTTCATGTATTCACATATGGTTCTGTCTGGTTTCTTTATAATATGAACTGGATCAGGACTGACTGGGCATTGGTTTTGGTGTTAAGACACCCATTCAAAAAACACTCTATTAAAAAAAAAAAAATACTACCAAGCCAAGCTCAATTAAGTAAATAACATGTTACCAAATGCCAAAAAATTAAGAATTAAAACTTTCTGGTTTGGACAAATTACATGAGGGGAAAGATCCATTGGTTCTTTGATATATCTACAAAGGACACTATGAAAAAACATGACTGTTTGATTTACCATCTGTGATTGTTGGAAGCTTATAAGGATCAACAGATGACAGTCTGAAAACAAAACAAAAAAAAGAAAGAAAGCAGCAAATAGCAAATAAGTGTAAAAGTTTGTGTATAGAAAAAGGTTTACAACATGGAGAACACAAAAAATGTAACAAGAAATTGGAAAGAGACAAGGTGCTTGCAAGAAGTGATGCTGCATTACTGGTGTCATAAACCAATGCTGACCTGTTTAGAGACAATGACAGAAAAACATAATAATATCAAAATAAGCAGAGTTTCCTTTCTAACAGAAAGGTGCTACACATCAACAGCTAAGTTGAGCTGCATCAGTGGCTATGTCACCCTTTCCCTCTGAAGCAATTCTCAATAGAAATGACAAAATAGAGTAGAAGAATCAGGGTTATCCCTGGAATATATCAATGCTATTACATACTATGATATGAAAAATTAAATGGAAGTCTGTTTTCCTACATGTCTGCATTGTAAATTCTCCTAAGGGAAATACCATTTCCCTTCTTTTCAAAATTTATTTATTGACCTGACCAATATTCAATTTATGTGCTATTAAATATGCTTTCACTTAGAACATCAACTCAATGCTGCCCTTTTAACTGACATCATGGTAAACAGATCTCAATTAACAAGACTGTCTATAAATAATTCAAGCAGAGTGAGCTGTCTCAAAGCTTGGAATAGGAGCCCCCCTCTCTATCCCCTCAAGTGCTCTTGATTGCTGCTAAGCCTGGCCTCTACAGCAGCTGTGATTTATACTTTTCATGCAACACTTTACCCCCCCTCCCTCACCTTCCATCAGCCCTACCCCCCCCAAAAAACTAGAAAAGACAGGATGGAAAGATTGGGAGAGTTTAGTATATAATGAGCCTTAAAAGCCTAGTTCAAAGTTGTGAAATATGCACAAGCCTTTAAGCACAAGCATAAGCAGAAGAAAAGGCCAGTGTGCATTGAGGTGAATCTTGTGCTTGTGTTATGTTTATTTCACTAGTGGGAACTGGCATGAAATAAGCACAAGCATAAGCGCCATCTTGTTTCTCCATTGATGTGACTTGCACTACACACACATAAGTCACTAATGTGAACATCCTTCAGCTTGTACTTCAGCTTATGCCCTGCATGTGCTTATCTCATAAGTGTGAACCTGAAGGTTACTGACTGCAGCCAAGAAGACTTGTGCCTTTCACACCCAGATCTCATCAGTAAATTTTCTTACTGTCTGCCCTACAATACTTATGATGTTAGTTTGAAGAATTTGATATTGAATAAACTACTAATCCCCTTATTTTTCTTTATTCTCATCTCTTATCTCCTTGACATTGTATTGATATTGTAAGGAGAAATTCTACCTTGGTCACTTATTGAAGTAAAAGGATTAAGAATCATACACTTCTCTGAGTTAATACACCTACACTGTATCTGGGTCATCCTCAGAACAACTGTCATCCTTTTCTGTGTCTTTTTGTTTCGCTGAAAGACCAAATCGTTTTGCTCTTCTTGCTTTCCTCTCTAGTGCTTCCTACAAACCAAACAGAATAATATTTTGATCATCAAAGTAAAAGGCAACGAAGAGTATTGCTGCTGCAAAATGACGGAGGCTTGGTCCCTCCGCCAGGCGTATTTCATAAGGTTTTCACACCTGTTCATTGGTACACATTTCATTCACCAGCATGCTAAAGGGAAGCACTATTTGAATTTATTACACGACTCGGGCAGTCAGAGGGCCAGTCACTAAAATCAACCAATCAAAATGCACTATTGCCGGTCAATATTCTCTCAGTATTGGACCGGGCACTGTCCCGAATGGTCCCGAATGATACCCCACTTGTGTCCCTTTGAACTTCAGTCGTATAATAAATCTCTTATTAACCAAGCTTGCTCGGGACCGTACTGGAAGAATATCGGCCCTCGTCCTTTATTGTGTGGACCTCGCTGCACTCGGTCCATATTGTCAAGACCTCGGGCTGATAGTCTCCCAGTACAGTCCTCGCGCTTCGTTAATAAGATATATTAATAATCTCGCTTAAAATCAAAACACAACAAAACTTTTGCAATGTTCATACCCAGACATTACAATCATCCATATTAGCCCATACAACTGGCCAGTCCACCAATCAGAGAAGTGGTTAATAACTACTGTAGTTTTAATACAGACAACAGGGGACATGGCAACCTATACCTACTGCAAACAACACATAAAAATTTTCTTTGCGTGTTATCAATTGCAAATTGTATATCTGTATTAAAGGCATGTAATATATATATTTATTGCATCACTCATAGAGACCATGGGCAAGATGAAGTGAGTCTTATGTTCTGAGTGGCTACCCAAGTGGGCAAGATGGGCCCATCTTACCCACTTGGGATTGCCCACATTGATCCAGCGCATGAAAAACAATAGAATTAGAACTATGTTCGTAATTCTTGGACAATTCAGGCCATGGAAATGCAAGAAGCAGCAGAAGATAGTTAAAACGAAGAAAACAGAAAGGATTCTCCTGAGTTTGTTGTGCTACAAACACAGTTGGCTTTCTTTCCCAGCTCTCGAAGTAAACAAGTCATTCTTAATTCTTAATATAAAGCAAAATCTTTTTGCAATATAATAAATCATTTATTAACCAAGCTTAGTCGGTCAAGATGGCTGGATGTTAGCCTCGTTCTTTTTTCACATCTTTATGGACCTCGACTTCATCTCCGTCCAAAAAAAATGCAAAAGAAGAACTCAGCCAATATCCAGTCATCTTGACCTCATGCTTGGTTAGCAACGTACGCACATGTATAAAATCATTTATGGCTTTTAAAAGGGTCCAAGAAAAACACATTTGTATTTCCAAGGTATTAATTTTTTTTAAAGAGTATTTTCAAATGTAAATTTTCAGTGGCTGGCTCTCAAATTTAAGGAGATCAGAAATGGTAAATGTCACATGGATTAAATGAAATGAAAGGATAGTTAACGACTTTCGTTGAAGTAACTTATGGCGATGATGCTGAAGATAAATTCATGATGAATCGAAACTACTAGGAGTTTAACAGGAATAAATTCAAACATTTTAAATCACAAGTGCCTTAAATTATAATTTATACACTTCACAACAATATGAGTACCTTCGAAGTTACATCAAATCCTGTCACGAAACACCCTGACTTATTTTCATATCTTCTTTCCTGTACGTACAAAATCCATGGAAACAGATTATTAGATATTTTTATAAATAATAATTATAGTTAATTTACTGGATTTTTATCCCACTCACAAAGATGAATGGTAAATCTTTCTCCTCTTTGTCGCTATCATCGGCAGGGATTTCAACCTTCAACTCTTCAAACTCCATCTTGAAAATAACTTATACTCAGACTCCCTCAATCCCTCCTCAATAAAACATCAGATAGGTCCGCACTGTGTACAAGAGGAACTTCTGTGCTTCAGACTTGCGAGAAGTAATTCGAAGTTGAAAAGGAGACAGGGAAAATGGAAAGAGAAATTATTTTATGTTTTTTAGAGCAAAAGGAAAACTAAAAAGGTCCTTTTAAATGATTTTGTAGAGATCTTGGAATGGATCTCAAAAATAGCCTTGCAAGAGAACTAATTAACAATTATTCCACGAGCGCGCGTTGGATATGAGATGATAGATAGCCAACGAGGCGCGTAGCGCCGAGTTGGCTATAATCATCTCATATCCAACAAGCGCGAGTGGAATAATTGTTTTATTAAAAACGCCCCCAAGAAATTATTATTTTGTAAGAAGAAACTGGATTTTTTAGCTCCCTTTTGATTTTAAGCTGACGCGTACGCTTACCATATTTGTAGATTATGGTATATTGGCTGATATACCATAATGGCTAAGCCAATAAAAAGTCTTGAATTGCATTATCCAATGATCCAGTTTTTAATAA